TTTTTAGAGAAAAGGAGACAGTTCTCAGGCTCAAATCCTGGTGGAGCACCAGTACCTAGCCAGATTTTAATAACATCATGTTATTCAATACATTTATTTTTATACTTACCTTTCCTTTTTAGAGAAAAGGAGACAGTTCTCAGGCTCAAATCCTGGTGGAGCACCAGTACCTAGCCGGATTTTAATAACATCATGTTATTCAATACATTTATTTTTATACTTACCTTTCACTTATGACAAGTGATACTGTCTTTCCATCTGCCTACTGAAATAACTTTTCTTTTTTAATGAAATGATTTAAAAACTTAGATTTGAAGAAAAACAAAAAAGAAACTAGCAAGCACACATCCCCTAAAAATCACTAAGACACAACAGTAATGAAGTTAGCCAACTACTTCATGGGTACACTCACATAGCACTTTAACACCTATTACTTAATCTGTATACACCACCACCAACTGTCACGACTCCACGGTCACCTCTAACCAACCTGAAAGAATGAAGCTCACAGAGAACAGCACTGTATGAGATGGTTAAGAGCTCAGATTCTAGTACTAGCTGGAAATGAATTCAAATACTGTCTACGCTTCTTACTAGCTGCTTGACTGAGGGCAAGTCCCTTAATCTCTCAAGTACTCATCGTAAAATGGGGATAGTAACAGAAGACTAAATGAGATAAAGTTCTAGCAAAGTTTTTGCATCAGCAATAAGAACTTAAATAGCTATTAATGGCTATTACAAGTCAAGGGACTTGCCTAAGGTCACGCAGCTAATAAGCAGAAGGCCTGGGAATTCAGTCCTCACCTTTTCTCTTCTCCTGCACTGTTCTTTCACACCCATCGCACTACTTCATATTTTACATTGTTTTTAGTTGCAAATTGTGAAATTGCTTTATTCCTTGGATGCTCCACATATTCCTTTATCCCAAACAATTACGGAGCACCCACTGTACGTGAACAGTGTTGGATGACTGACAGGAGAAAAGCCTACGGACAGAGACTATTGTGCAGGTAACAGGTGAAAAGGAATGCTTATGAAAGTCTTGCGACCCCCTAAATTGAAACGTGGAGAGTGGGCAGGGGTCAGTCGAGAGGCACTGACAGAGACAGAGGGCAAAATGAATGCCAGCGGGGAGACTAGTTGGCAGTAGCTCACGTGAGCTTTGATGGTGTGCTGGACTAGTGCAGGGCAACCGGGGTTGTCCCCCCAAGCAAAAGGGACTCGCTGGAAGCCACCTGAAAGTGCACAGTGAACTGTAAACGCCTCGCAGAAGCAAAGGGACATTAATTACCCTTTACTTACTACTCACAGCTTCCCGCCTGTCCAGACACAGGTACATCCGCCCAACGTCCCTGCCCCAAACCCAAGGCAGCGGCCACGCGATCTCCTGCCCCAACCAGTCCCGCTGGAGACAAGGCTCCTAAGTTCGGGGGCCTCGCCCGGCCAGCGCGTCAGACTCCATCCCTCCCTCGCCCCCCAGCCGACCCCTCCGCGAACCCCAGGCCGGAGGCGTCCAGACTCCACCTTTGCGTCTCGAACGCTCCCGGCTCCAACAGGGGAGAGTTCACACGAACAGCTCGGAAAAAGGAAAGAGCGAGGCAGAAGACGTTCCAACCCACCTGAGGCCTACGCCGTCTCCCGCAAGAACCTAAAACCGGAAACGAAGCCAGGCACCGGAAGTAACGCTGCCACGCTCCTCAATCGAGCGCCGAGAAGTCGAGAAGCCAAGCACCGAGTAGATCGATGCCTTCCGGACTCCTGCGGCCCCGGCCGGGACTCTCTCTGCGCGTGCGCCTGTCTAGCGGGCGGGGAGAAGTGGCCGGAAAGCTGAATGGGGAAGGAGAGGACGGTTGATGGCATTCTGTGGGGTCAACCTGGAATCCTGGAACCATGCTGTGAGAGGATAGGAAGGGGAGTGATTTCTTTCTCCCACCATTACCTTGTGAGATTTTACCCCACACAACGGTGCCTTCCATTTTTCCAAATCCTGTACAATTTTACAGGCACAGCCCCTCATGCTGACTACCGGGGCAGGTGGCCCTGGTTTTGCCCTCCTATGCTTCTCGTCCCCTCTCACCCCCAAGTCTCCTCTGATTCCTGTGACTCTGAGGAACTCTCTTTCAACACCTATGATGAGCTCCAATCTCAGAGGCAGCCCAGTGTGAGGTCCCAGAGCAGAAAGAATGGATGTGTCTGCCCGCCCAATTCTCTGTATTCGCTCATCAGATAAAGCAGCTAAGCTCAAGGAGCACCCAATCACTTGTAAGATCATCTGCCTAAACCCACTCAAGCACTGATTCCCTACCACCCTTGCCAATCTCTTCCCTGCGCACAAAATGCCTAGATTTTTCTAGGGTAATCTAAGGAGTTAGTGTTTATGCCAAGGTGAATTTGACTTCCAAAAAAAGTGTGAGCATTCATTCATTCGTCCATTCATTCATTAGATGTGTGTCAAGCATCACCTAGAGCATGAAATGGTTGTTAAAGAGCCCAGGGGAATCTAATCTTGTATCATCTCTTTAACTAATCTCTCTCACCCTCACTTTCCTCATTTGTAAAGTAGGAATCTTAACAGTACCTCCTTCAAGTTACTGTGAGGATTAAATGAGCTAAGCGTAACGTGACTAGCACATTGCCAGACCAAAAATAAATGGAACATAAAAGTTATTTCTAAATGCTGGCTATGACTTGGACATGTGAATAGAGGGGGTTAGGGACCAAACAGTTTGGTTTTATCAGCTGTGGATTTTTATTTTAAAAGAGCACTGTAGGTACTGGCCAGTTATCTCAGTTGGTTAGAGTGTGGTGCTGATAACACCAAGGTCCAGGGTTCTATCCCTGTAGCAGCCAAAAGAAAGAAAAATTAAAAAAATAAAAGGTCACTGCTATGGGTCAAATGCATCCCGCAAAAGTTCATGTGTTGGAAACGTAAATCTCCATTGTAACAGTGTTAAGAGGGCAGGAAATCCAAGTATGGTATTTGAAAGGTGGAGTATTTGAGTGATGATTGGATAATGAGAACTTTGCCCTCATAAATGTATCAATCCATTCATGAAGTAATGAGTTATCATGGGTGTGGTTCTGATGGCTTTATAAGGAGAGCAAACAAGAGGTTAGTTTTTCTTGCCATGTGACACCCTGGTCACACGGGATCCTGTAGACAGTTCCCACCCAGAACAAGGTCCTCACCAGATGTGTTCCCCAGACTGTAGACATTCCATACTCCAAAACTGTAAGAAATAAATTTTCTTTATAAATTACCTAGTTTCAAGTATTCTGTTATAAGCAACAGAAACAGACTAATACGGGCACCTAAATTTGTACCACCTTAAAAATAATGTAAGTTTCTTGTGTGTGAGGATTTTTGTCTGCTTTGTTCACTCAAGTACCCTCAGTAATTACAAATTGACTGGTAATAAATATATATTGAGTAAGTGAGTGAAACTTCATGGGAAATTAGGCAACACTAAAACAAATGAGATGTCTTATGAAGATACACATAAGTGTAGGAAACAATGTTAAACAATCACAGAAAAGCCTTCTTTTATTATATAGATATAAAAATGAGAAGAAATGTAAATAGTTCTGTCTCAGTTAAAGAATTATGAAGGTATCCTTAACACATTAAAAGAAAATATAAAACAATTTTTAAATAACAAAGGACAATCTGCCCTGCACATTAGTATGGGCATCTGAGCAATTAACTGATTCTATTTGATGATAATGAGGATGGTTAAACCATTTTTCTGAACATAAGCTATAATCTGACTATATTATACAAGTAGAAATGGCCAAAAGTTCATAACCATTAAAAGAGGATAAGATATGACTGTGCAAAGACACTCTACCTGGGAAGAAAACCCCACAGGGAAAACAGAGGCCCAAAGACAGACTGCACATTGTGTTCTATTAACAACTAGATTATGGCTACTCTACATTACACTGTGAGAAGGAAGTTACCTAATGCCAATTCAGTGGCAATGGTCTGCATGCTTTTTTACAGGTTCTTCTAAAAAGTGCCAGTGCATTTTCCTGTCCTTGGGCAGTCACCCCTGGCTTTCCAATAACCCGTTGATGGTCGCCAGTGGTTTCCTGAATGATTTTGAGAAACCAGCAATTGAAAGCAGGACTGGAAGGGAATAAAGGGGAGAAAAAGGTTTTTCTGGTCTTGTGAGCCTTGCGTGGCCTGGTTCTGTAACTATATTAAGAACATTGTAACCGCTAAATTTGGTTACATGTCCTGTGAAACAACCAGCATGCCTCTATAACCAAATCCTCTACAACCTCTGACCTCTTGTCAGTCAGATCAAAAATCAGATGTCAAAAACTCACATTTTAAAAAATAATAGAAGTGCAAATGGGTTTCAAGTTCTGCTCAGTCCAGACTCATATTACAGATAGGCAACACGATTTACTTTGCTGTGAAACAGATTTTTTATCGAACTAAACCCAGAGGCAGCGCTATAACTACCCTATCCAAGCTTCATGTATTTACTGATGATAAAACTTGCTTATTATAGTGGTAACAGAAAAATTACTACAAACAGTTGGGAATAAAACTGTGTCAAGACATCTGAATTATAAGGATGATAACTGAGGCATCTCTTAGTGACTCTGAATACACATATATTTTCCTACCTTATCTGCACATGTTTTATGTTTCTCGTTAAATGTATTCCATATCTTGCTGCAGTAGTTTTGAAAAGGAGCCGTATTTAAAGGAAGATGCATCATACTACTGTGGTGGGTAAATATTGTCTTATTTATGTCAGATAAAGCCACAATATCTATGGCAATTTGTTTGTATCTTCTTTCTTTCCCCAGGTGGTGATTACATTAAGAAATTTATGTAGAGTGAAAGTAATGTCACAACGAGCATTAAACAAATCTAGGTATTGTTGTTAAGTAGCAAATCAGATTTACATTTTTCTAGGTGGTCAGGATTATGTTGGCTGAAACTTTCTAAAACGCACCCCGCCCCATTCAGAGAGGAAATAATTTTGTGCAATTAATTTTCTTCCATTTCACTTCAGTCTTACTATTTTATTCTTTGTGGTCACATTCTTGTTTACAGGGATTAAAAAAAAACAGAAATGACTATCGCCTCTGATGTGTTCTGCTGTGTTAATGTTAATAAAAGGGTGTCATTCTTGTACATCAAAATAATACCCTTTTCCCAGAATGGGTGGAATCTGAGATAGACTATGATAATTATGCATTCCATAAAGTTTGGAAACAGTAGTTTGCCTCTGAGGACCTCATAACCACTCCAAAGAAGTGTGGGATGAAACCTGAAGTTCTTACTCTGCAGTGTTGTGAGACATGTAGGTTGTGCTTGGTATCATATAATCTGTCCTCCCCTGAAGTCAGCTATAGTAACATCACACAAATGCCATTCTCTTTGAGACCAGAAAAATAAGATGACAGTCCCATGAGACCTACCTAACAAGCAAAATATTATGCAGATACAATTCTTAAGTACAGCAGGTTTGTCTCTCCTATGACTCACCACTGTAAATATTTTTGAGTCTTAAGCTCTATAACAATTTGAAAATCCAAATTTGAAGGAAAAAAAAACTTTTTTATTAATATTGGGCCCCAATTGTGTAATTTCAAATATAATGATCATTGATTTCATAAGCAATCCCCAGATATCCTAATCAAGTGCTTCTCAAATGTTAATATGCATGCAGATCACCTAGGGATTTTGTTAAAACCAAATTTTGATTTGGTAGGGTTAGGATAGGACCTGAGAATCTGCATTTATAGCAAGCTCCCAGGTAATGCTGATCCTGCTGGTCTGTCACTACATTTTGGGAAGCAAGACCGTTTAAGTGTTTCCTCTTTAAGAATGGTTGGTAGATTATCCCAGTATAGCACAATTGTTAGCTCTGGAGCCACAGAGATATTATTGATATGGTATACTGTCTTCTAATGCAAATACAAATCCACTACAGTCGTCCCTCTGTCTCCATGGAGGATTGGTTCTTGGACCTCCCCCATACCAAACTTTTAGGATGCTCAGGTCCCTGATATAAAATGGTGTAGTATTTGGATATAACCTACACACATCTTCCCATATGCTTTAAATCATCTCTAGATTACTTATAATACCTAATGCAATGTAAATACTATGTGCATAGTTGTTATACTAATTGTTTAGGGAATAATGACAGGGTAAAAAAGTCTGTCCATGTTCAGTACAGACACAATTTTTCCCCCCAAATATTTTCAGTCTGAGATTGGTTGAATCCACGATGTGAAGCCCATAAATACAGAGGGCTGACTGTATTTCTTTCAAAGGAGGTACTATTTATGTGAAACTTTCCTTCATTTTAACTGCCTTCAACTGGGCATTTCAATATAAATCTTAAGTGAGAGGAAGAAAGTCTGGAATTTTTGTTCCCCTTTAACAAACAATTGCTTGATTCTGAGGCCCTGAATCACTTTCTAATTTGCGGTAGTCATTACAGCTGATGCACAAACATTCTGATTCTTGGTCCTTACCATCTCACAGAGGTCTTGCACTATTCTATACCCTTTGGAAATTGGCAAGGCTACATAACTGCTTTGGCTAAATAAGTGTGAGAAC